TAGGGCTGTAAGTTGGACTTGATGATCTTAATTAAGGTCTTTTCCAACCTTTATGATTCTGTGTTTCTATATTTGTCTCCAACAGTGGTACCATAAAACGTTAGAGAGGGGATGCAGGCCTGGCCACTTACTGGTGTCCAGTGTCTGTAATTGTTGAGTTAGGGATGTTGGAGGATACTTTCTAGCTAGTTTTTGTCAGTATTTGTTCTGACCTGTTGTCTGTGAATACCTTTAAGAGTTTTTTCTGAACCTGCTGATGCTGTGAACCTCGAATCCTGCAGCAAGGTCCAGGAGTTCACTCCCTGAAGTGTGAGTGTGCTTCATCCTTTTCTAATCTGACCTTCTGTTAGTTTCAAGGAGCACCACTGTTCTAGGAGTGCATGGTTCGGTGAAAAACCGTTTTGCATTTACATCATTCATCTCATTTCTGACTTCTGCAGACCTCAGTTGTATCTCCTTTCAGCTTTTTCCAGACTGAAGAGTTTTGGCCTTAGCGACTGCCGTGAACAGCTACTTCAGCCCTCCTGTTGCTTCAGTTGCCTTTCCAAGGCCAACAGAAGAGAGAGGGGACCAGAACTGTGCACGTCACTCCACATACGGGCACAGTGAGGTTTTATACAACAGCAGAGCCATTCCTTTGTCTTGCTCTCACCTTGGATTCTGAGCTACTGCTTCATATTAAGCACGTCTTTCAGAGAGCTGAAAGTGTAGAAAAAGTCTTAATCGGCCACGACGTTCCCAGCGTGTGCTGCTCAGGTTCCTGAAGTCAGGTTAGGTGGATGGGAACTTGGAGGTCTTTGCTCCTGTGACCCTTCTTTTTATTACGGACTGGCAATATTTTCCTGCTACTGCTGGCCGTGCTGTGAGATTGAAAGATGAGGTCTTTGGAGTTGGGGCTGTGTGAGAAGGTGTGTACTGGGAGGCTGTTTTTTCACCCCTACAGCATAATTCTGCTGAAGGTGGCAGCAAATGTGTATTATATATCTAAGCAAATACCAGAATGGCAACTAAAATTGATATTTTGTTGAGACATTGTCATTATGTTATTTCAGTAGGAATAAGCTTGTGGTACCTCAGAAAGGCTTCTGATTTCCAGCTATAATAGCTTTGTCTTTGGGCCTGTTTTGTGGTTTCTAAGGTACCGGTCCTGTTGTGACCTCTCTCAGGCTTCATAAACATGTTTTGACTGCACAAATGTCAAGTAGTTTTAGCAAAAATAAATATTTTTCCTATAGAGTGCAAGTTAAACTCAATTACAAGGACGAAAAACAACTGGGCGGCACAATTTGAATTTGCTTAAAAAATATGGATGGGATTGGAAGTTGGTAGGAAGCCTGCCTTGGGCAGGAAGTTGCTGGAGCATTAGAACAAGTTTTTGACATTCTCTTGACATGACAGTGATGTCATTTTAGCCTTGGAGGAAGATCTTTAGCTTTTGTAACAAACAACTCGTGTTGCAGGTGGATTCAAGCCAAAGTCTGAGCAGCTTTGGCAAATCAAGAATTCATAGAATCATAGAACCATAGACTGGCCTGGGCTGGAAGGGACCTCAGAGATCATCTGATCCAACCTTCCTGTCATGGGCAGGGACGCCTCTCAACTAGCTCAGGCTACTCA